CTGCAGGCCGTTCTGTGCAAACAAACATGCACTTCAGGAAGAAACCCAGCACATGTTTCATGGTGACACAACAATAGTGTCCTTCCTGCTGAATAAGAGCGAGTACTCACTGTTTCTGGAGGAGGTTCTGCTGCTGCTGCCGGTACGACTCGATGGTGTGTTGAGGCAGATACTGCATCAGCTCCAGAGACTCCTTGATTTTTACCAAAATCTCATAAATTTCACGGCCTTTGATCTGGAAGAAGTCAAAATAAGGGATCACGGTCAGTTTGAAGGAATAGCTCAATGTGTGGTGCGAGTACAGCAACCTTTATTAAATGGTTATGGAAATCTAATAGGCCTGCACTTCTATTAGCAAATGATAAACCTGTATTTTATTTATTACATTTTCTTTATCACACCTTTTCATAAACAGTTTTACGGAGTGGAGCACTGCTTCCACTTGTATGCTGTGCTTGAGTTCTGCTTGTGTATAAATAAGAGGTGCATGATATTGGGATAAATGGACATTTGTATGTACCCTAAATATGTCTTGAAATACAGTACAGCCTGTTTTAAATCAACACTCACAGGCAACAGAACACCTCCTCGTCTGTGGATCTCCTCTTCTTGATGGTGGACATCTGGATGCCGTGGGATACTTGGCGGTAAGCTGAGGAGAGGAGACAAGAGTGTGAGCGCCGCCATCTTTACGCTAAACTTAGTCTGTTGGGAAAACACTGAATGTCCTCTTCCAACATGAGAGTAACGTGATAACAAAGGTATCAACTGTAGCTGTGAACATGACAGGATGTGTGATGACCTAGAAGAGCATCAGGACTGTTTGAGGCAGATGATAGCTATGTGATTAACATGATGATTCAGCCTCTATGGAGAGAGACATCAAGAATGCTCATTTCTGACGTGGAGCTAATCTGAAGTAAACATTGAATACTGCTTTCTATTCCTCCATCTTGTGACTGTGTAACTCCCTCTCTTGGATATCAGCATGTGAAGGACACTGCTCAGGAACTAGTTGATGCTCTGTATGTGATGACTACTTCCATTCGGAGAGGATCACAGATACATGGATCCTGAGGTTGAAGCTCAAGCCGGGGACGAGTGAACATTTTCTAACATAGTCCTAATATTGTAATATATCATAAAGCGTCGTACCGTCTCCGCTCTTGGAGCCGTCCGTCACGTGCTGCTTGCGGATGCTGTCCTCGTCCGCCTTCCTGTCTCGACCCGGGCAGGCGCAGATCCGGGCCTCGAAGCAGCGGCGGCCTAACACCTGACCACTGAGAGGGAAACACAGCAGGTGAGACACGGAGCAGACGGTTACCTGCAGGAACCTGAGGCTGGCTGTGAGGGTGTCTTACTCTCGGGTCTCCAGAGTCACGATGATGAGGATCGGGCGTCGGTTCATCCCCCCCACGCAGCTCGAGTTGCACATGAAGTTGTACAAAATTGTGGTGAATTCTGTGCCCACCTGAGAGAGGAGAACAACACGGATGGTGAGTTGTTGTTTTTTAGATGCATTTTACTACAAAAGCTGCGTTGAAAAGCTATTGGTCACTAATGAGCAGTGGCGAACCGTCAGGGCCTTCAAGGTATTCAGAGAATACCCAGGAACACTTTATTTAATTATACAAATAAAATGTAATAAAATGAATAAATGAGAATGGTATCTGTGTTGATGATCTGTAATATCACAGTGGTACGTTGATTTGTTTGTCCTTCTCGGACCATGCACTATGCAGTTCAGTGGTTTTGTGTTAGAAAAGAAAGCAACCAATCAGATCTTGGGGGGCGGCGGCGTCTACAGAAGGTCCAGTTGTGATAGACACGGTTCGCCACTGCTAATGACAATATTCTCCTCATCAACTGCAATATTTTTGAGACAAGGTTGCTGTATATTTGTTGTTTTTTAAGTGATTCAGAGACTTTTCCTGCAGAAAAACAACTAAACATGCATCTAAGTGTGTGTAAATGCAGTTCAAGAAGTGTTTGCCTTTTATTTCCAGCTCTAAAAATGCACAGCTCTGCATATTTAAATTATGTCTCTTCCCAAAAATGTGTCACGTTTTAAATCCCATATTCATATTTACTTATAAGTGAAAGGATGTTTTTTCTCCATCACCTTGAATGAAGAAAATAAAATATCAAAAATGTTTTCTCTGTGCAGCCTGCATTAAAATGAAGCATGCTCATATGGAGAGGCTTTTAGGTCTGAGTTCACATGGAGTCTGTGGGTGTTTCTCAATGTCGAGTAAGGCTGCTCCAGAGCCACTATTTCAAGCATACTACGCCATCGAGTGGCGCCGAAGGACTGTTCCAATGTCCAGCATACTTGGAATTCTACCGAGCCCGGCGTACTTCGTAGCGAGAAATTTCGAGGCTGCACATGTGTAGTAGTAAAATCCCCACAATGCTTTGCGCACGGACCAATGTAAGGCGGGGCCTATCATATGACGCACACCTGCACACTTGCTCGCCTGTTCCACTCTTCGTCTTCCGAATGCCAGGAAGGATTCTTGCCTCGCTTCTGAAGCAAATGACTCGGAAGACATGTGCTACCAAGCAAGCGTACTCGACATTGAGAAACACCCGATATCTATGCGAGGTGGTGAAGTGTGGCTGGCGGTGCGTTCAGGTGCCTGTCTGCAGAATGGGAGACGCTCACCTGTGGAGGTTCGTATGGGACAAACACGCTCTGCCTCCCGGTGATGGAGTCCTCCAGGTACTGAGCGTGGTTGTTCCCCTCCACCCGGATCAGGTGGCTGGGAGGAGCGATCTGACCTGGAGAAAACAACATCATGATTCAGGACATTGTGCTTCTTACTTTCACTGAGGGTTCATTTGGATTTTCTTCCACTGCAGATGATAACTGAAGTGACACATGAGGGATAACGTTTAATAAATCAAAGTGTACTGACCGTCGTTGAACTCGCGGCTGAGCTCGTGGTTGGGGCAGCGCTTCACGACCTCCGTCACGTGCTCCGCCTTCTTGTAGACGGGCATGGCTCGGATGACGGCGCCCTGCGGGGGGTTGGTCAGCACTTTGATCTGGATCGGACACGTCTTGGCGATCTGACAGTACAACTTCTTCAGCTCTGTTGAGTACTGCGAACAGAGAAAACACAAGAGGATAAGACTGTGCTGGAAACATTTTTTTATATATCGTAGTTTATTTGTTGTTTTGTCTGTCTGACTGTTTGTCTGAATGCTTTTTTGTTCTACTCCGGTTATTATTATTATTATATATTTTTAAATAAGCCTTAAATACGTTTTATATGAAATCAATGAATCACCATCATCGTACTCGTGAGCTCAGAGGAGTGTCTTCACTTACATATGTTTATGGCACATATATCCATATATAGTATATATATATTATATATATTATCATTACCAAATAAAGTCTAATTTCCACTTTCATGTAATACACCCTGTAGATTTTTTTACACAAATGTTATTTTTTGTTGAAATGCATTTTAATTGTATAGTTAAACTAATAAGTGTGCTGGTATTTATATGTTGTTCCATGCGTTGATCTGCTTGTATAGTTGTTAGTGTGATTAGTGAGACTGTGCAATGTGTCCTAGTGCCAACGGACTGAAGATGGAAAATTACTTCATAGCAAAATCTGTCAAAAATCTAACCCATTACCAAAAACAAAACAATTTAATCGATAAAGTTGAAGCAATTTGAAAGCTTCCAAAAATGGGTGAATTTTATCGACCACCTGTTGGCAGCACCGTGACTTCTGTTTTTCCCCGAAGCATAAAAAGGGTTAAAGACAAGACTGTGATTATGAGTTAAATAAACACACACAGGTTCTGGAGCTGCGAGTGTGTGTGGGGAAACCTCAAAGATCTCACGAGAGCCTCTGGGACTTCCGTGGAGGAGCGCCATAAAAAACGGACCCCTCCAGGAGCAATTAAACTCCAAGCATGGTCTCTTTCATCTTCAGGGGTGAGGGGGGGCTAAAAGCATCTGATGGCCCCTCATCATCCAGAGCAGGGCTTCCTCCTTCAACTTAAGTCAGTTTTACTTTGTGCAGGAATGAAGAAGGTCTAGAAAGATCTGTCTGGGGCCAAACTGTGGTAAAATGACCTACATTGAAAAGTCTGTAAGCCAGGAGTTGGGAAGTATGTTGATCCCTGGTACCTATTAGGGCTGTACCCGAATATCCGAATATTCGTTCGTTGGAGTACTATTCGGGTTTCTATTTCGTTATTCGGATTCGTTTTTTTCTCAAATTGAATTTATTGAAATCTCCAATATCAACGTAAGAGCTTGTGCCTCTTCGGGGGGTGCTAACACTTAACCATAAACGTTATCGTTTACTTTCTCCGTCTTTATATGTAGATATTACTTTTCTCCATTAATCTCCGTCACGTTGTTTCCATAGCAACAACAACTTCCTGTCAACTGCGCTAACTCTCCTTCAAAATAAAAGCATGTCCACAAATAGGAAGCCAAGCCAAATTACACTTAAGACATACAACTGCAACGAAAGTAACAAACACAATGCGATATCCTTTTCAATTTCAAAGAACACAAATTGGGTTACATTAACAAATAACTATAAAACAACAATACTGTAGAATAACAAAATGAATGCCGTGAATACACCGAAATACTTCGGTTCGCTGCTGATTACTACCGAATATCCGGAGCCTGAAAAATGGTATTCGGGACAGCCCTGGTACCCATAGACGTGATGAGCCATTTGAAAACAAGAATGTTCACATAAAAGCGGAACAAGACTTTGAGATTCACCGAACAACGAACATGCTATGACGTAGTTACTGTGAAACCTGCATTTTAAACCAAACGGTCACTAATAAGCAGAGGTAAGTCTTTCCACCAAAATATCTTAAAGTGTTAAGTATGTAAAGTATAGTGATACCAGCGTGATTTAAGCAAAGTCCTAGTAGATACTTTGAATATATCATAAATAAGAGCTACAAAATATAGCAAATGAAATAAAAAACAAATTTGTGATGAGTATTGTCCTTACTTGCATCCAATATTTATTGACACTATTCAAACAGGGCGACGTCATTGTGTTGTACGTCCCAAGTTAAGACGGAAAACCCTTTGAGTTAGAGCCCTAACACAGATCATAATGCACTCAATTAATAAAATGCCATTTCAAAGCTTCACGTTTTGCACACTTTAGTTTTTGACGAATGCTTGTGTGCAAACAAAATTATCTCTTTCCCTTTTTAACCTTGTGCTCTGTAACCTTGTGTGTGTGTGTGTGTGACGTTCGTGAGTAAAGTGTGTGAACCTGTCAGAGTTTGCTCATGTGAAAAGAGTTGGAAGAATAATTCTGGAGGTTTCTACAGATTTGTCGTGTTACTAATTCACTTTAAAACCACTGAAGACCAATACACTTCCCATTCTTTGATTTTATTCCTGGAAGCCATTTTATGTTTCTGGAAAACTCTGGAGAGCTGAAATTAATAGAAGTGAACGTCAACTTTATTGCTTTTTCCCAAGTTACTTTGGAATAATGTGACGATGCAGCTGAGTCAGTCGTGTTTCTCTCCTCCAAATTGATTGGATGCTTTCAACCTTTATCCTTGGGGAGGGGGGGAGGTTTTGAAATACTTTCGAGTCAAAAGGCACACGTGATGTGACCTTAAGCCACACCTCTGCCATTAAATCATGCAGGTGCAGTACGTTACCTTTGCACGATTAAATAAAAAGTTTTTGATAAGAATCCGACAGCGAACACAGCGGATAAGTTAAATGTTTGTAAGACAGCAAAGATGTTTTTCTATAATGGCATCACCTGTCTTTTCTTTAAAAGCAAAAACCAGCGTAGAAACTTGAACCAGAATTGAGGACGTTTGATCAAATCTGTCCGTTTGCATTCAGCTTTTCTACTGCAATACATCAAATTGGGCGTTAGTATACGTGAAGGTAAACACAACTAACGACTAGAGGGATCTGTGTTCTCACATTGAGGGTTCGTGCGCCCCTCCTGCAGGATAATGGCTGCGCGCTGATCCCTGGCACTGTTAGGATTGATAACCAGAAAGCCATCAGAAAGACTGAATTGTTACTAATGGGCAGAACCCAACTGTGTAAACAAACCATAGAAATCACTGCTGTGTGTGCAGAGCTTTAAATCCCCTGAGAGGAGGAGACTCTGGGTAAAGGTGGAGGTGGAAGGGGGATTTCTTCCCCCCCCGTCCGCCTCATTTCTGAGCAAATAAAGGTGAACATTGCGAAAGCCGCTCGGGGCTGTTTCAGAAACAATGCAACATAAAAAAATTCCACTACGATTAAATTTGCTTCCAAAGAAAAAGCAGCTCATCCCAGTTTGTGTCTTTAAACGTTACACAAGCTTGGCACGGAGCCTTTCTGCTCTTCTCTGCGGGCGTGCAACACTTTTCCTTTCATCAGGACGAAACCAAAACAGCACATTATCGCCCAGTTACTAAACACGGGATTCACTAATACAGACAAGTTAATGAAACAATGCATTATGAGGTGACTGGGCACTGTGCTGCGTTAATCACTGCTCAAGGTTTTGATAGTATTGAAAGTAAAAGCAGAATGTAGCTGCAGGTATTATGGGCTTTGAACGGCAAGGCTATTTTATTTATATTGCACTTTTCAGCACGTGGAGATTCAAAGTGCTTAAAAATAAAAACAAAAGACATTTAAGAACAAATACATTAACTGTAGAAACTGTATGCTTGGGTTTTTTGTTTTGTTTGCAAGGTGTCCATGGAGAGCATTTTGTACCGTCAGCTTCAAAAGTGCAAAACAATTAAAAAAAAAGTTATTATCAGTCGATCAATAGATAAATAATTGCTAAATATTGTGAGAAATTGATACATTTTCTTACGTGAATGTGTTAAAATGCTGTTGTCCACCTCGTAAATATGAAGTTTTGGTGCTTTTCTCTGTTTTAAATCGTATAAAAGTCAATGTTTTTTGCTTTCTGACATTTAAAGTCATCGTCTTGTACTTTGAGAAGGACTCTTACATTGTATGGACCAAACGATTGATCACTAATGAAAACAAAGATTTGATTGCAGCCGTAAAGCAGACGCTAAGATAATCAAAATACAACCAAAGTGTTCTTGTTTTTTGTTTGTACACCTTTGATTCCAGCTCAGGCACATGTATGTCAACACAATGGCCGAACTGATTCTCCCTGACAATCAAAGCAGCTTTTTCCACACAAAAAAAGAACAGATACATGTTTGTCCTCTCGCTCCTAACCTGATCCCCTCGTACGCCTCTGTCAGTCAGCTAAATGAGGTGGAGAGGAGGGGCGGGTGGAAATGAAGCTGTTGCTGTGTGAAGGGTCAAAGACAGAGAACTGAGTTTAGAGCATTTCACACCGAATGAAAAGTGAGAAATATGAAGAACATTTTAAAACAAAGTGTTCTTTTACAAAAACTGTTTTTTTAAAGACATCAAACGTTTTTGTTCCTGGACGTATTAAATCAAATGTGCGAGGACAACACACACCTATTGTATAATTCTATGTTTGAATGTTTTGTTGTATTGAATATAACGCTGCTATACTTGAATTGAAACTAATTCAAATAAGGAGGACATTGAAGTTATCTAAAAAGTTAATTTAAGGATTTGATGTAAGCTTGATGATCCCATTTTCTGCTGCAGGTATCTGTACAGGGGATGTTTGGTTAACTCGAAGTGTGTTGTCTAAACTGTAAGAGAATAAGCTTTTCCACAACCAGTATGAAGATGTAACTGTAACGGGTCAGTGCGTATGTTTGCAATAATTACTGGGTGTTGGTTTTGTGTAGCTGAAGGCGAAAACAACGCAGAGATTTAATCAGAGGCAGAGCGTTTGTTTAGATCATATCCTACTGTCACACACACACACCACACACACCCACACACACACACACACACACACACACACACACACACACACACACACACACACACACACACACACACACACACACACACACACACACACACACATACACGACCATCCCAGCCCTGGAGGTACAAACTTTGGCGCTCACACACACACACACACACACACACACACACACAAATATGTGCTGCTGCTGTTGCTGTGTTTGCTCAGCAGAGAGAGAGGAGCTGCTGCTGAC